TTAGTAATAATAATCTGTGAGAGCTACATTTAAAACATTCATGAAACAAAAAGGGTGCTTCTAAAGAGATGATAAACCCAGAGCCAGGATACCAATTTGAACGTACTTTGATTCTAAATTTTCCTTGTAAAAATATTCACAGAAATTGGTGGACATTTTTTTACGTACAACTTGATTTCTCTCATTTATAACATAAACCATTTAATGTAACGTTCGCGACCTTAGAAAGGCAGACACATTTAATCCAAGTCCGTTTATAAATTCCAATTTCACATGAATTAAAAACTGCAGATAAATTAAGTCACAATAATATCCTGTACATGCATTAAGGCTGGTGACTGCTAAAGTCTCTTGGGTATCTACAAACAGGAAATCACACGCTGATTACTGGGTCTGAAGAGTGTCTACATCATTAAAAAATCTTGCCTTTTTTTTTCCTTTTGGTGATACAGATTTCAACAGTAACTCTGGAAAACTGTGAAAAATGTTATTTAAAAATATATATGTATATGCTACTGCACAGTTTCAAAGATGTAATTCATAAATAATGTTGGCTGCACTGATTAATTTTATAACAATTACTGCACTTCCAAGGTGATGCGAACACGCAGTGACTTACACTCAATATTAGGCACTAGTAATGTCCTTCAGGCGTACTACAGTTTTATGTTAGCTGTATTGTACATATATATTTTTAAATGTATGCATTTATACAAATTGTGTCTATTATGTATGGGGTGTCAGAAATGTACACACCACTGTTCTATGATACACATGTCATTGTACATATCAGGAGTTTTAGTGCAGAAAGTCTCATTGCACTGCATTCCATGTGTTCACCCTAGTACACAATTTGTCAACTCTTCAGATTATTTTTCCAGTACATTCTTCTTTAGATAGTGGGTCAAAGTTTCCATTTGCAATGTGAGAGTTTCCACAAATATCTGTTTTAACCAAACCTCTCTCTCCAGGCATAATTCTGCACTTGAGTCTGATCTGTGTAGAGTAGTAACAAATGTCAAACTTGGATCAGGAATATATTTGGGCTACTCTTTCAGGGATAATTCTAATATTGTGATAAAGGATGTCATCCATTCAGGTCAGGAAAGAATCAGGTCAGTCAAACTTGTGCTAAACATCAGAGGAAAGAAAATGTCTTCAAATAGGGAAAAGTGGTAATAAACATAATGTGTGTAAATGCGAGAATCTCTGGGAGTAAATACTTCAAACTGTGAGCAATGGTTGTCTCAGGGAGATGGGACAAAGAGGGACCTAGACTTTGAATTTTTACAGTAAGCAGGTATTACTTTCATAATTAGAAAACACAAGAAAGATAGTACAACTTGGAACAAAATTAAATAAAAGGAACTAGTTACGAATGACTGTCGTAAGCAACAATCAGAAGATGGCTCCTTACCCAAATCATCTACGCTGAACCCAACAGAAACTGCTGCCCCTGGCATGCTCCACAGATAAAAAGAGGCAGCGGTAGGCACCGCATGCTTTAACTGTCCCCCAAAGTGACCAGTGTCAAGAAGTTTCATTGGGGAACATGGGTCATTAGAGTGCGGACGGACACCGCTGGCACAACCAGCCAGAGGATCGCGCCACATATTACATCACATGTCTTTCTCAGACCATCACGGTGCGACTTTGTCAAGTAAGAGGCCTCAAGGACATTATTTTGTGTAGCAAGATACACCCTCTTTTTCAAGAGTTGTTTTCTTTTTTACTAATATTTGATATCCAAATATATTTAACAAGAAGACTAAATCTAGGGCATGATAATACTATAAAAGGAATAAACTTCAGACAAAAACTGTAAATGAGATGTCAAAAAACTAAAATGTAAACTTAATTAAAAAAAAAAAAAAGAAAGGAAAACCATGGGCAAGACGTAAACATACCAGATGCACAAGATATAAGCAAGATGCTCTGGCGTTGCTGCCCCACACAGAATTGCGATCACTGCAGGAATAACTTCCCCAGCACTGCAAGCAGTTCGCCAATCAAAGCTTGAAAAATATTCCCCAAATCAAAATGCATTAAAGGCCTGCGATGGCGCAGTCTGCACAGAGTAAGAGAATCAGACAGCACTGGGACAGCAAATAGCTCTCAGCCTGATGAGCAACAGAGACAGACTCTAGTGAAGGGACATTCTAGGTAATGTCCTCATAAGGCCAAGAAAATTTGTAAGAAAGCTACTGTGGAAAGAATAGACTTGAAACACTGGCTGAAAAATGCTGGCTCTAAAGCCACCAAGTCACAGTGGCAGGAAGAAGCAATGTGCGTGCTTGGCGGGCTTGTTGTCACAGGTGCAGAGATTCCAGTTACTAACCGAGCTCCAAAACACAGTCACTGCTGCTCTAATGTTCGTGAACTTTCAAAGACACTGAGTTTTTACCAAATCTTGGTGCCGTTTATGCAGTTTGATGGTGGGGCAGGGAAGGCTTGTGAGAGTCCTTCCATTTGCCTGTAATGCGTTTAGTTGATAATAAAGTCAGGTGGGGGGAGGGGACGAGAGGAGAGGCAGAGTGTTTGGTAACATGCATCTAGTAAACGTTTGGCACAAAAATAAATGACTTGTTTTCATTATTCAATTACCCATTAATACACAGCAATCAAAAAATAACTGGGGACTAGTATATTAATACTGAAAGTAATAGATAATATAAGAGCTAGGTTCACCTTAACTGGCAGTCAAGCTTTTGGTGTTCTGTATTGCACCTGGTTAACTAACCCATGAGATTTTGGTTGAATTTTCTAAGAAGTCATGGTTTAGCACTGGAACAGAAAGTGTGTGTCTGTGATTGTGTGTGTGCGCGTGTGTGTGTATGTCTATTTCCTCTAATTAGAAACGTCTGGTCACTTTGTCTAGCCTGGGATTATGGAAACTAGACAAAGAAAATGTCTTCTGAAGAGCTGTGTATCATACACACACACACACA